TAATATATAATAACTAAAGACTAAATTATAACAATTTTATTAATATATATTAAAACTAAAAAAAATTAAGACCAAGCCCCCGGAGCATCACCTGGGCCTGAGAGCTAGAAAACTAAAAATTCAAGAACTTAAAAGCTAGAAAAAATTGAATCTGCGCTCCCGGAGCATCGCCCGGGTTTGAGAGCTAGTATTTACTAAAAAAATAACTCGAACAAAACCATTATTTCTGTATTTGGAAACTTAAAATTCCGAAATCTGGCTTTTCTTTGGTAGCTTTCATACAGGGCCCTGAATACCGCATCCTTCTATTAATGAGACCTTCGCGGACAAGGGTCATTTCCGTATAGGTCACTCGTCATTCGTACACCATATGTTAGTTTTAATATATATATATATAACATTAAAATTTTTTTATTTCTCATATAAAAAAAAATTTTTAAGCATTATAATCTTATATATATACGCATATATATTTTGAACTTTAGCATTCAAGACTTCAGAATCTATATAAATTTCTAATAAATCTGCTTAAATGTAATTATTTATACAAATTTGCAAATTTGTACATGGTACTGTAGTAAAATTTATTACAAATCTGTACACAAAGTAAATGCTAGTTTATATCCGTACATTAATAACCGTTAAACTTTTATCTTAAATTTACACTTCCGAACAATGAGTTTCTAATCAATATATTTGGAGACCCTTTTCATACATGGCTACTCAGCTTAATATATTTTCAAATGATATTTTATTGCAAGTTACTTGTTCGTTTAAAAACTTTATATACCCAGTTATATACCCAGTTGATAATTTGGGCTATTGGAACAAATCAACATTTTTTTTAAAACCCTTTTTTTTTTTTTTTTTAACTAATCCAAGATTAGCCCTTTTTGTAGTTATTATCGTTCGCGCTGGGGATATGTCAAGTCAAAATTGTACTCTTTATAATCACAACGGTAAAAAAAAAATACAAAAGCTTAAAATATATTGCGATAATTTTTTTATTTTACTAATCTAAGTGATCTAAAACTACGAATGAATTTTCCAAAGTAGTTAAGTTAGTATGAGAAGTGGAAGTTGAGGATTTGTTAGTACCTAACCAAACATAATAAGGGATCTGGACTAAATAAGGAATCAAGAAATGATTACGTCCATTAAAACCCTTTATTGTATTGAACTGGTATTCAACGTAGTTACGACGAGATGGATGTAGGTTAATATGGTCAAATTCAAACCAAACTTGCCAAAACCATCGCGTAAACCAGTTACAATAGTATCCTTGTTGAACTTGTATATCATTACCAATCACACGACCGGAGACGTAGAAATCTGCTATTCCAAACAAACCATTTGGGCATAACAAAGTTTTAATACGATCGACGACTGGATAAAAATTATCAATCATTGATACTACAAAATATGTTGGCACAAAAAACATTGTTACCCTAGACGCTTTATCCATAAGCCCAATTCGATTGAAAAACTTTAAACTTACAAGAATAAGACATTGTCACCAAATCAATTTTTCCAATATCGTTTTCTATTTTTGGTAGCTTAAACGATAGAGCATCATCACAAATTACGTAGACATTGCTCCATCCTCTGGCGTTAAATCTAGATTCTGCTATTTTACATAATGGTGTACATAAATCTACTAAATAGACTTTGTCAAATTGTTCTATTGGAAAGAAATCATCCATCTTTTCAATATTCCAACCTAT